TGTAGTAATAATTAAGTGTATCATTAGTCAGGTACATGGCATACTTTAGTACTTAATCACAAAAAAATTATAAAAAAAAAAATTACATATTAATTATTGTAGTAAATACTGATAATAATGTCATATTTTTTAATCATAACTTTTAATTTATAAATGTATAATAGCCAAAAGGTTTAAATAACATAAAAATAGTAAATTCAAGCACCAAATATTTCTTAAATTACATCAATAACAATGCAGAATAACAATAAGTAATGAGTATGCATGTATATAATATTATAATCTTAGCAGGGTTGCCACTTAAGTTTAAAATTCTAAATAGTTGAAAAACTATACTAATACTTACAATTTTAACAATTTACAGTAACTTTCTGTTTCAGTTTGATCATTTAAGTAACTATTAAAAATAAAATAATAATATAAATATTATAACAATATTTATGCTTAGTTATAAGACTTAGTTAAAATTATTTATTATTATTAAAACACCTGCAGCATAACAACATTTCAAATGTGTTGTCGCTAAGCCGGTTTCTCCTGGGAACTAAAATCTGTGAACCACTGCTAAACAACCTCTCAACAGGGGCAGATGATGGTAAGGTTGTATTATATTTTAAAAAAACTTTTTTAACAATTGGCAAATTATTTAAAATGTCTAGTTCTTTTTTTTTTGTATCCAAAAACGAAAGTGCTTGAACACTAGCAAGATTTGTATTTTTAGGAGTATTAACAGAGTTTTGAAAAGAAATATGATTTTGATCAAGTGAACCATCCGTATCTCCACTAAGAATTTGATAAAATTCGTGGTCACTGTTTTCATTATCATCAGAGCCATTTTCATCAGTTCTATTTTCAATTGAGTATTCTAAATTACATTCAGTTATAAATAATTTTTTGCACATAGTTAAATATCTGACTGGCACCCAAGATAGTTTAAATTTTGGAAGACTTATGGCTGACAAAATAAATGGTTTACTTTTAGTATGTGTTAAATCAAAAATGTACTTAAATCGTTCTTCAAGACTTTTAATAATTGAAAAAACCAATGGTTTACAATAGATTAAATGAGTTGATTGAATTAATTTAAGTCTCAGAGCAATAATAGTAGGGGCGACATAATCTAAAAAACAACTTTTTTCCCCTTGCATTAGGTCAAGAGATGTTGCCAAAGGCTCCATGATCAGACAATATTCATCTAGAAATGCCCACTCAGATTGTTTTAATTTATTTAATTTTAACTCTTCAAATGCAACTAACAACTTTTCTTTATTGGCGACCACTTTTTTTACTGCAAAATACATTGAATTCCAGCGTGTAATAATAGGTACAGGGAACTTTAAATTACAGATCTCATATATTTTGTCAGAAGCGACCGAACTTCTGCTAAGAATGTTCCAAAATGCATTTAATTTAACAAACACAGATTTTGAAATTTTCTGATAAGTTGAGTCAGAAATTTTAGCTACATCACTAGTAGCAATTAAACTAAGAGTGTGAGCAGTGCAGGTTAGATGTTCAGGTAAACAAAAATCATCATCGTCGTCATTACATTCAATATTTTCAGAATTTGAAAATAATGTTGATATTTCTACAATTTCAACATCTGCATTATCAACCTCACTGCCAGAGTCACTTATTTCAACATTAGATTCATCATCACTACTTTTGAACCAATTGTTATTAGAACTTTGAGCACTAAACTGACTTTTATTTGGGGTTTCTGAATGAATGGAAAATGTTCTGAACGCTTTTCCGAAATTTGAAGCATTATCGGTCACAGTATGCGATATTTTGGAATTGTTAATTTTAAAAGATTTGGTGATTTCATTCATAACCTGTGCTATATTCATGTAAGTATGACTGCCCTTTATGCGCCTACAACCAAGAACATACGAGTACCTTCTATAAGTATTTTCGTCGAGAAAGTGGCAAGTCATACCTAAATAACTTTTATTGTTACTAGACCAAATGTCTGCTGTTGTACAAATAAATGATACTTTTGATATTAAATCAGTTAACATAGTAACATAAGAAGTATAACTTAATTTTAACAATTTACTCAAATCTTTTGTATCAGGGAGTAACGCTGTATCTGTTATTCCAGTAAGGCCCATTATCAATCTTCTAAATGCTGGTTTTTGGCAAGTTACCAATGGTCTCATTTCTTGGACTACATAATCAAAGACCAAGTTGTTGATCTAAAAGCAAATCATTTTAGGTAATTAAAACACTTGACCAATACAATTTTAAAGGCAATAGTTGAATTAACTAGAATTAACTTAAATTAAATCAATTTATTATAAAGACAGATAAGTATCAATTGACAATTATTATTTATTACTCTTTTAAAGATATTTTGGAACAGTAAATAGTAATTAAATATTTGAAAAACAATTAACACTTAAAAACCTATGCACCTAATGTAAAAATAATTTTGAACTTAACTTTTTTACATTTCACAAGTGGTGAAATTTGAATAAGCGGTTTATGATAAAGATCACTCTGTATTATAATTTATAATATAAATCAAACTTACTGTTTGTTTTGATATTTGCCTTTGTTGTGTGTACTGCGGTATTTTTTGTTGTTGGCTTCCAGAATATGATGACTGT